GACCTGGATCAGATCCAGCCCAGCCCTTCCTCCAGCTTCCGGGAAAGATAAAGACTTGAAAATAGACAAATACAACCCAGAGTTGTTGGCACAAAGGACCAGGGAGTTAAGAGTGTGGGTTCTGAATCAGATTAGGGGAGGAGGGAATGTTCTGGAAGGATGAGATAGTTAGGAGTGAGCCTGGTGAAGGCCGTTCTAGCATGGGTAGTAGCCCAAGTGACCTGGAAGAAGACACAGTTACCATGCCTAGGCCCAGGGTCACCGGCCTTTGTGGATTCCAGCTCTGCTCCTCCCTTGCTTAAGCAGCTCTGGGAAATTTCTGAGCCTCAGTTTCGTTAACTGCAAAATGGAAACATTTTCGGCAGCCACCTCACAGGGTTGGTGAGAGGATTAAACTATCAGTCATGCCCGTGGCACCTGGGCTGGGCCTGGTGTTTTGAGCCTCCTGGGAGGYGATCGATGGCCATGTTTTTACTCATGGCATATGTGGGTGCTGGGGGCAGGAAGGAGACAGTAGGCAGGGGACCTGGAGTTGGCTCGGGGTCCAGATGCAGAAGCGAGGAGAAAAGTGGAGGAGACAGAAAACACCGCTTTTTTCCGACTTCCTCCAATAAGCAGCTCTTGCCTGCTCCTCTGGGCCAAAGAGACCTCGAGAAAGGGAAGTGCTGACTSCCCCGGCTGCAGTATGGGTGCCTGGTCTCTGTCCCCGTCCTCCTCTTCTGCTCTCTGGTGGCAGTCTGGGTTAGATGGTGGGGGTATCTTCAAGGCTAGCCCTCACGGGGACAAAGGCAGCTGGTACCAGAGCTGGACCAAGGGAGGCTGGTGGGCCGTTCCTGGGCTGCCCCTCTTTCCTTCAAGGCAGCCTTTGGACTCTGGGACTGAGAACTGGGCTCTCAAAGCTCTGAGATGGCACTGCCAGGTGATGTGACCTATTGTGTCTGCAGTGGAGGATGAGCTKTGTGGTCCCCCCATGTAGGGAGCAGGGAGACTCCAACGACCTGGTGTAGCCACAAGGCCTGCCGAGTCCTGGGGGGCCTGGCCCTTCCCACTCCTGTTGCAGAGGGCGTCTGGGAGGGGTGGGGCTCTGCAGGCCCCTGGGCTGTCTGGGGAGTGGCTGGGAAGTCTGAGCCCCCCACTGCCTTCCCCACAGGCACCCCTGGGTTGGACTTGTCACTGGAGAGCWTCCCTGGGGTGAAGCTGCAGGAGTGACGGCCCAAAAGATTCCCGGCCTCATTGTGGACCCAGCCTCTGCAGTCGAACAGGGTCCTACCCTCTGGGAGCCCCCACAGTGCCCAGCAGCCCTTTTCCCAGCCCCCACCTTAGGTCCTGGAAGCTCAGAGCCCCTGCCTGTGTCCTGTMGTCACCAGCCACTACCCACAGCCCAGCAGACAGCCCCAGCCACAGGCCAGCCTCTGTGAAGCCACCCAGGAGGGGCTGACCAGCATTCTGCCTGCAGCTGGGACAAGTCCCTGAGAGGCTTGGTCCCCTGGGCCCCCAAGGGAAGAGACGAAGCTGGCAGGAGTGCCATGGCCTGCACAGTCAGAAACAGTGCCGGCCGGGCGGGCGGGGAGGCAGCTGCTCATGGAGGAAGAATGTTCTYGCCTTCACTTCTGCAGTGGAGAGCACTTTGGCTTACTGAGACCTATCCTGGGTCAGGCTCTGGGCGGGGACTTGTGTGGAGAGGTGGGACTCTTGCCCTTTTAGGGAAAAAAGACTGGAAGGAACATGGAATTGCTAGTGTTTCTTCTTCAGCAGGCCTGGGTTGCCAGGGAGAATTCCTAACCGGTTCCCCGTGGTGCCAATGCTGAGTCAGGCACCACACTTTTGAGAGCCACTGTGGTTCAAGGCCAGGTGGAGGAAGTATGCATGGTTTGCGTTTTGTGTATTTTTGTGTTTCTATGATTGTTTTACTTTTAGAGCAAAAACAGTTACTTAAAAGTTAAATATGCGCGTCTCAAAAATGACTACAGTGTTCTGGGCATGGGCCTATGCGGAAAGATGTCTCACCTTCCACGATCTAAATGCTATACACCTGGTAATATAGCCCAGCGTCACGAGCTTACAGGTTACTGCTCCTTGTCTCAATCCAAACTTGAGTGTCCACTCAGACCCCCACATGCTCCCCATAACAAGATGGATAAATGAGGTGCTAGGAATGGCACAGCGAGGATTTGAATTCTGGCCCAAGAGGCTGAGCTTAGTCTGGATTCAGCAGCGTCTGCTCGCRCTTCCTGAGTGCAGGTCCCTTTGCGCTTCCTTACTCCGCCAACTGAATGGGCCCGGGACCCCTCATTTCCTCTTTTCTCTCACTGGTGTGATCATTGACTGTCCCACTTCCTCCTTTCCCACTTCTGTCCCGTCCGCTTGGCGCGGTGGTGGGTGGTGAGTCTGAGTGCTTTGGCGCGGGGTGCCCTGGTGAGGGGARGGCATCCACTTTAGCGGGTGCTGCTGAACACACGCCCAGAACAGGGGCCCTGGTGGCAAGTGGGGATTGAGCCCCTAGGGGACAGCAGAGTGAGCCAGCATCTGTGGGGATGCAGATGTTACCTGTCCCCACTGCCATCCTCTCTGGGGCTCAGAACCGCYGAGAAACAGTCCCCGGGCATCAGATGATGGGCGTGGAGACCTCTAAGAGCCGCTTGGAGGGCCCCCGCCAACTCTCCTGGAATTAAACCCCAGGCTGTTCCCCGGTCCCCAGAGGGAGCCGCCCCATGGCACAGGCTGCCTTGGTCCCCTGTGCTTGCTCCTCCCCTGGACTCCAGTCAGCTGAGGCCCCACATCCCAGGCTCTTCCTTCCGTGTTCTTTGGGGAAGGGGGGCTCTGAGGGCTGGGGCCTCCAGCTCTCCAAATCGGTCCTCTCTCTGGAGTGTCCCTTCTCATCCTGGGACCCCTCCACCCCGCTGCCCCGGGGGCCTCTCTGGTGAGTCGGATCCCTTCCGACTCCGTTTCTCTGTTTAATGTGCAGTGTTATTTAGGGAGTCATTCACACTAAAAGCAGATGTCATTATCCCCTGTGTGACTCGGTTTTCACCTGTGTCACGCACGGGACAGACTAGTCGCACACCTCTGCTGCCGGGTCCCCGCGCACCGCCTCACTCAGCATTTCGCATCGTTCACCTGTCCTGTTCTCCGCACCTGGACCTGCACTGGTGTGTTCCTGCGGTGTGCTGGTCACGAGCCTGTGGGATGCTGAGCTGAGCTGCGCGCTGGGCGTGGGGAGACTGCGGGTGGGGTATCACAGTCGCTGGGTCGCAAGCTGTTCCACAGAGTAGAGCAGATGTGCCAATGATTACAAAGGAGAAGTGAGGGACAGCTAGGAGCTGGTGACAGAGGTGGCAGRAGCTGCCCTGAGGAAGTGAGGTCACCTCTCAATCCCTTCCACTTAAAACTCAAACCCAGACTCTTCTCTCGGCCCCTGAGGGACCTATTAAGGCTGATCTGCGTCTGTTACCCGGTCTTAAATTACCCCGTAGCTGCCCTGCGTTTCTTGCTGTGTCTTGAAGGCACYGAGTTCTTTCCTGCCTCTGAGCCTTTGCAAACACTGTTCCCTCTGCCTGGAATAGTCTCCCTGGCACTCTTGTGTGTCTTCCCTTCTTGCCTCAGCTTAATGTCCTTTTATTTTTTATTTTATTTTATTTTTTTTAAACATTTATTTATTTATTAGTTTTTGGCGGACACAACATCTTTGTTGGTATGTGGTGCTGAGGATCGAACCCGGGCCGCACGCATGCCAGGCGAGCGCGCTACCGCTTGAGCCACATCCCCAGCCCCTTAATGTCCTTTTAAAGATGACCTCCCTGACCATGTATCACCTTCACCACCCACTCTATTATATTACCCACATTGCTATGTTTTTAATTTTGTTTTGCTTCCATGGCACTTAACAGTATATGAATTTTAAAATATTTTTGTTTACTGTGTGTTTTCCTAATGAGAYTTGGGGCAGAAGATCCTGAAGGAACTGGTCACTACCATCCCTCCCTGCCCCTGTGCTCACTACAGGGCCTCACACAGAGTTGGCACTGTGTTGGTTGGTGTTCCCCAGTRTATTAGTTTTCTGTTGCTGCTATATCAAATCACCACAATTTAGTAACTGCGTTAGTCAGCTTTCTGTTGTTGCGACAAAATACCTGAGATAATCAACTTAAAAAGAGGAAAGGCTTATTTTGGTTCACAGTTTCAGATGTTTCAAAGGTTGCTTGGCTCCATCACTTTGGGCCTTGGTGAGGCCCATCGTGGYGGGGAGTGCATAGCAAAGAAGACTGCTCACCTTTGGTAGTAGCCAAGAAGTAGAAAGAGAGAGAGGTGGGGGTGGAGGGAGAAAGCCCCAATGATCTAATAATATCCTTTCATTAGGTTCCATGTCCTAAAGGTTCCACCACCTTCCAGTAGTGCTGCAGGCTGGTGACAAGCCTTTAACACGTGGCCTTTGAGGTATATTTAAGATACAGACATCACAGTGGATTATCTTCCAAGAAGCCACTTTGATTGGAAGATTATCTTCTAATTCTGGAGGTCAGAAGTCTGAAAATCAAGGTGACAGAGGGCTGGGTCCCCAGGAGGCTCTAGGGGAGAATATTTTCACTTGCCTTTGGCAGCTTCTAGGGGCTGCTTGCATTCCTCGGCTCACGGCCCCCTCTTTCCTCTGCAAAGTGCACCCTGCAACCTCTCCTCCCAGGCTTGCATCACCTTTACCACCTGCCTCCCTCTGAAAAGGACTCTGTGATAAGAGTGGCCCCCAAAACAATCCAGGATAAGCTCCCTCTCTCCAGATTCTTAACTTGATCACATCTGCAAAGTYCTTTTTGCCATGTAAGGTAACACAGTCACAGATTCTGGGAGTTCAGCTGTGGCTGTCTTTGGGGTCTGTGATTCAGCTGGCCACTCCCAGGCCTCCATGTGGTGGTGGTTCAGCACTCCTCCATGTGGAGTAGCCAGCGGCCCAACACCCTGGCCACGGCCCTGGAGCCCAAGGTTCTGATCGCTCCTTCCTCTTGCAGGATGAGATTGAGGAGCTGCGGGCGGAGATGCTGGAGATGCGGGACGTCTACATGGAGGAAGATGTGTACCAGCTGCAGGAGCTGCGGCAGCAGCTGGACCAGGCCAGCAAGACCTGCCGCATCCTGCAGTACAGGCTGCGCAAAGCTGAGCGCCGCAGCCTTCGTGCCGCCCAGACTGGCCAGGTGGACGGGGAGCTCATCCGAGGCCTGGAGCAGGATGTCAAGGTCAGCCCTGGGGCTTCCCCTGACCCTCACAGGTGCCCTTGATGGGGTTCGGGCCATGAGCCCTAGTGGGGTCTAGGTCAGCCCTGTGACTCACTCCTGTGTGTCCTTGGCTATGCAATACCCTCAGTCTGTTTTCCTATTGCAAAGTGGTCACCCCTAGTGAACCAACAGGCCTTCTGCCAGGGGCACCCCAAAGTGATATAATAACATGAATTCTACAAATAGCTGTTTATTGAGCATCAGTTACAGACCTGGTTTGGGGCTCTGAATAGTCCCTCCTTGGTTCCATGGACCTGGAATGCTAATCAGACCTGGAGTTGGGCAGCACTTGTTCAGATCTTGGATCCAGTATGTCTGGATTTTTTGATTTTGAGCAAGTCACCTGCATTTCAGTTTCCTAACTGTAAAATGGGTGTAAGAATAGCTTCTCTCTTGGGTCCTGCATCGCCAGCATAAGCCATGCCTCACCACTAAGAGGCCCAACACCTTCTTCTAGGTTCAGGGCCCCCCAGGTTACCCAAATAAACTCCTTGGTTCTTAGGTTAAAAAAAAAAAAAAAAAGAATAGCTTCTCTCTCACAGAGTCCTATGAGAATTAAATTAGGTAATGTAGACAAAATGACCATAAAACCCCCAAAAATGTTAGCTGTTATTATTTCCATTTTCTGAATGAGGCATCAAAGGCTCCATAGCAAGGAAGTTCCTGTCCAAGGTCACAGGCCTCCTCTGTGTGTAGGTGGCAGAGCTCAGGCCCACGTGCCTCCCAAGCCTCAATGTCTGGTTGCTTCTCTCCACCTGAGAAAGGAGGGGAGGCATGGGGGAGAGTGGGGAGGAGAGGGGCACGCAGGTGGGGCCCCCTGGAGAGAAAGAAGCCCACCCTTGCCTGTGTAAGCCCTGATCTAGGGGTGGGGAACTCCTTGGGGGTCTTGCTCTCTGAACTCAGCCCAGTATGATCAGGGGGATGATGAAGGAGCCGGGGATGGAGTCAACTGGCACAGTCTGAGGAGTCCTAGGGAAAAGTGGGTATGTCCCAGGGAAGGTGAGGGAGSTGCACTCCATGGAGAGGGCTCCTGAAAGGGCCCCGGGAGCTGGTAGGTTGAGGATGGGCCACACACAAACCCAGAGAGAACCTCCCCCTTACACCCTTTCTGCTAGAAGGCACTGGCAAATTGAGCCTGAGCCCCAGTGGCATATCAAAGAAAACAATACTGAAGGACAGCAAGAAGTGATTTCAGAGGTCTGCAGGGCCAGCGAGTGTCAACAGAGGCTGCCAGCTCCCCCAGGYGATTGCGTCTCTGTCATGTTGACCGTCTCTGTCGTGTTGACCCAGCAGCGGGACAGGAGGAAACTGATCTCACAACAGCGGCTTTTGGCACCTCTACCCTGGGGGGCAGCTCCTGGGCTTGGTGGCTACACAAATAGTCCCATTCCACACTGCGGGCCTCGGCGGCCGTGGAGGATCACCTGAGCCCAGAGGTCCTGGTCATCCCGGGCAACACAGGGGGACACCGGCTCCCCACCCGCCCCCCCTTTCAAAAATAAAACGCGCCTAGTTCCGGAGCGGGGTGAAGAGTGGGTGGTGGGGAGCGAGCCCGGGAAGCTCAGCCGGGCTGCGAGGCCACGTTTGGACGCAGGGCGTCGAGGATTTCTGGAAGGATTTCTGGAAGTAGAGGGAGAGGAAGGGGTGGAGGGTGGCGGGCCGCGGGCCGGCGGGGCCGGGGCTGCGGGGCTGCGGGGCGGCACGGGCGCCTGGGGGCGGGGCCGCAGCAGCGGGTGGGTGTGAGGGGGAGGCTCCCAGGAGGCGGGGCGCAGCGGAGCCCCCTTCAGTTGGGATTTGAACTAGCCAATCAGCATCGACCTTGCCCCCTCCCCTCCTCGATCCACCCTTGCAGCTGCAGGGCTGAGCTCATCCGTCCGCTGGCCTCGCCTGAGTTGGCCGCCTCTGGCCGCCCCCCCCCCACACACACACACACGCCAGTGTGCAGGGGATGTCCCGGGGCAATTTTGGAAGTCGACTTCCCTGCCATTGCCTAAGAGGGCTTGATGGGCCCAAGTGGAGCCCTAGCAGGGTATCCCTGGGGACTCTCTTGACTTGCTCTGTCAGGTCCTTGGACCCGGCCCTAACTGATCCCACCACTTGAGATGCCTCAGCCTCCCCTTATCTTGTTTTTGTGGTGCTAGATATCGAACCCAGGGCCTTGGGACATGCTAGGCAAGAGCTCTACCAGAGAACTCTGTCCCAGCCTCCCCATGTGTTAATAAGGGCTTAGACTAGCTGAATCCTCAGTTTGGGGGTTCTAGTGGTTTTACTGGGCAGGTGGATTGTTGGGGAGGGCGTCATGAATGAAACCTCAGGCTTGGTGTCCCCTACCCCACCTCCAGCTTCTCTCACGCTGCTGGGTCATGCAGTTGACAGGACCTACAGAACCTGAGTGGCCTCACTGCCCAGCAACAGGAGGGCAGAGCCTTCCTCTGCCACTTCCTTACATCTCTGAGCCTGTTTCCCCATGTGTAAAGTAGAGAAGACTAGTTCCTCCCTGCAGAGACCTCTGTGAATATTAAATGAAATAGTTCAAGTGCAGAGTGCTGAGCACAAGGTCTGACACAGTGCAGTGTTCACCCAGCCCCTGAGCAGGGGTGGCTTATGGTTTTGTTATTGAGCAGGAGAACTGATCAGGTACTAATGGGACTGGTGGCTGGGGAGGGCGGCAGGTGGGGGTGATGGGCAGACCAGGGTGGATGAGGATCRTCTGCAGGGCTTGTTCACAATGCTGATTCCCAGACCACTTTCYAAAGATCTTGGACCTGATGAAAGAGTGTCAGGTCCAAGGACTCCAGGATCCAAATTCTCACCCGAAGTGAGGCTCCTGTAGGAGGGCCCAGGACTCATCAGTAACATATCCCTTCCTTAGACACAGATATTTGTTCTGGCTTTGGGTTTATTCTTTGGGTGACCTGTGTAGACTGYAAAGTAGGGGTAGCACTCCCATCCCTCCTGGAGTTCTGGGGGGGAGTCACCAACAGCCCAGAATGCTGCCTGGCCAGGGAGGGCTCCTTGGCAAGAGTTCCTGTCCCTCTTCCTGCAGATCAGTGTGACAGGGACATTMTGAAGCTGATGCTCCAGGGAGCCGGGGACAGGAGGCTGTCGATAGCGTTTGGCAGGAGCCAGGCCCTGGCACTGTAAACAGTGACCTCATGGCTGAACGCGTTTGTTTGTGCTTTGGGGATTTGCCCTGGTTTCCGGCTGCTGCYTGTGCTATCTCAGCCTCCCTTCGCTGGGGGAAGCTGAGATCAGATGAGACAGGCACGTGGGGCCCTTCAAGCCCTGACGCCCTGACACAGTGAGTCCACTGTTGGGGCTTATTTTTAAAACTTTTTGTTTTGGGCTGGGGATATAGCTCAGTTGGTAGAGTGCTTGCCTTGCATGCACAAGGCCCTGGATTCAATCCCCAGCACCAAAAAAACAAACCAAAAATGGCTTAGTGGTTGAGCGCCCCTGAGTCCAATACCCGGTATCAAAAAAAGAAAAAAAAGAACTTTTTTTTTTTTTTGTACCGGGGATTGAACCCAGGGGCGCTTAACCACTGGGCTACATCCTTCAGCCATTTTTTTATATTTTATTTAGAGACAGGGTCTCTCTGAGTTGCTTAGAYGCTTGCTAAATTGCTGAGGCTGGCTTTGAACTGTGAGCCTCCTGYCTCAGCCTCCCCAGATGCTGGGATCACAGGCCGGCACTGTCATCCCCTGCTAAAACTTTATTGTGGCTAGTAATGCAATATGTCTTCAAGCTTTCCCCCATATCAAGACCAGATTGAGAGCAAGACTTTAGAATTGAGCCACCAGAGTTCAATTTCCTATATTGGTTTGGTAGATTCCTAACTCTGTGACCTTGGGCAAATGCCCTTTCCTTTCTGAGACTCAGAAGGGGGTTAAAAGAACCTGCCAAGCTTTGGGGGGGAGGGCTCACATTGGCCTGGGGATGTAGCTCAGTGGTAAAGCACTTTGCTTGGCATGTGCAAAGCTCTAGGTTTCTTCTCTAGTACCACACCAAAAAAGGATCACGAGGGGGAGGGACACGCACACCCGGGCCATACGACCCTAGCATGTGAGCAGCAATGCTCTTTGTGCCCGTTGACGTCACACAGATGCTTTGGTCCCATTGGTAGATTATGGGCTTTTTGTCCCAGTTAGACTCCTGCAGCTACCTGGAGTGGGCTTTATTGACATAGCAWCTTTGAGGGTGGGGACCTCCCAGGGCAGGTGCCACTCCTAGTGTACATTCAGTCATTCATTCCTTGTCTCCCTCTCTTTCTGCTTGTTGGAGCCTGGGATTTATTTGTTCCTCCATCAAGCATTTATTAGCCACTTGGCATGAGCCAGACCTTGTGCTGACCCTGGGACACAGATGTGTATGTCTAGGCAGGGTCTGGGACCTCCATCTGTGTGTCCCACCCCTCCTGCCCCAGTGCTSATGAACGTGGATGGAGCAGTGATCAGGACAGAGGCTTCCTGGAGGACCCGAGAGCCAGAACGGGGACTGTAGCCAGAAGCCTTGGGGCTGAACATGTCCAGCCAAAACCCTAGAGTTTGGTCAAGGTGGATAAACAATGCAAAACARTCATCTTGGTAAAGCATCCAAAATCTTTGTATTGGGGCTGGGGCTGTAGCTCAGTGGCAGAGCACTTGCCTAGCATATGTGAGGCACTGAGTTCGATCCTTAGCGCCACACAAAAATAAATAAATAAAATAAAGGTATTTTGTTCATCTGTGGTTGTAACTACAAAAATTTTCAAAAAAAAAAAATCTTTGTATCATGTCACCTTGAACRTGTAGTCGTTAGACAGCTCTGTGTAGCTGTTTTGTTTTTGTTGACATTCCTTTTTTTTTTTTTTTTTGTAGTATAAGGGATTGGCCCCAGGGTGGCTCTCTCTATTCTTTTTTTTTTTTTTTGTAACCAGGATTGAACCCAGGGATACTTAACCACTGAGCCAAATCCCCAGCACTTTTTAGAGACTGGGTCTTGCTAAGTTGCTGAGGTTGGCCTCAAACTTTCGATCTTCCTGCCTCAGCCTCCTGAGCCTCTGGGTTACAGGTGTGTGCCACCTTTCCCAGCTCTCTCTACTTTTGAGCTATCTCCCCAGCCCATTTTCTCAGATTTTATTTTAAGACAGAGTCTCACTAAGCTACCCAGGCTGGCCTCAAACTTGAATCCTCCTGTCTCAGCCTCCCAAGGAGCTGGGATTATGTAGCTCCATACCTGGCTACATAATTCTTAAAAACAATTTAAAGATGGGTCAACCAAGTTCATGAAACTGCTAAAYAAACACATCTTTGAAATGCACTAAATTGTTGAAAAATGATAAAATATAAAAACTATTTGACCACCTCCTATGTGCCAGCCACCACTCAAGCCTTACGTCATTGATTTCTCATGAGGAGACTATTTCAAACCCCTTTTACTGCTGACCAAACTCAAGACTTTGGCTGCTAAGCAACTGTCCTGGGTGACATGGCCAGAGAGTGTGGAGGCAGGCTCCGGTCTAGTTTTCCCCTCTGCAAAGTCCTGTTCTGATATTGAGGGGCTGATTGTTCATCCCATTTCAGGAACAAGCAGTTTGGTGAGCCAGAGAGTCAGTAGGGGAGGCTCAGGGCCAGTGTCTGTCTTTCCTTGGCGATCTTCAGGGGCAGAGGGGACAGTGGGCAGTGGCGGGAGGGGGAGTCCAGCTTCCTTTCTGGCTGTTGTTTTTCCTGGCCTGCCCTGCACATTGCCAAGGGGTCTGTGCTGAGCTGGGCTTGGGCCCAGGCAGAGGGTGAAGCCAGGGAGGGCCCCCTTCCCTTCCGGCAGGGAAGAGGCGTCATGGTCACTTCCGATATTGGCGGGCATGGGGTGCTGGGCTCTTGGCCCCATGAGTAGGTCCTGCTGGCAAAGCCTTCATTTCCCCGGCGGAGCCCTGGCTGCACTGGCTCCTCTGTCTAACAATGCACGGAGGCCAGACAGACTCCCAGCTCAGCTCGGCCCACACCTGCTGCGTGGAACCGTGAGCAGGCCACTTCCACTCTGAGCTTTAGTTTCCTCATCTGTGACATGGCAACAGGACTGGGGTGGAGGAGAACGAGTCTGGCACCCAGTAGATGTTTGACTAACGGAGTGCCCAGCCCACCTGGGAATGGAGTCGAGATGCACTTTACCAGCTCAAAAGACTCTCATTCCCCCCAGGCCTCCTTCCCTGGCCTCCTGCACTCAGCCAGTGGAGGGGACAGGACCGAGAACATCTTTTAGGAAACAGGGTGCTATTGCTTGCAGAGTCCTGGAGCCAGGGTGGGAGACTGCAGCTCTTTCAGCTCCTTGTGTAGGGATGACTTGGACTTCTGCCTAGCCTTTGTCATTTCAGGCTTGTTCTATGTCCTAGACAGTTGGATACAGGCCTCGGGGTCACGGTGACCTCCAGTAAGTCATGCCTCTCTCTGGACATTAGCTCCTCAGAACAGCAGCCACAACTCACCCAGCGCTCACTGTGGCAGCCCTGGGCTGAGGCTTCGTGTGCAGTGGCTGATATGCTCCTCCTGTCAGGCTCATGAGGTTGGTCCTGTTATGGCTGTACCCAATTTATAGTGCAGGAGACTGACTCTCAGTGATGGGAAATGCCTTGCCCAGGAACACACGTTGCCCACCTTGCTCTGGGCTTCCACTCTGGCTTACTCCCTGCTGAAGGTAAGCTTGGGATCCACCATAGGCCCTTGAGAGGACGGGCCAGGGGTGGCTTGGTGAGGTTCTGAGAAGCATAAAAAGCCCCCACATAAGTGGAAAGGCATTCCTAAGAACAGATGGGACTGTTGCAGCTTTGGGGACAGCACATTGGGAGCAGGGGGCATCTGGTTTTGAGGTTTGAGTCTGTTGCCTCCTGGATGCAGAACACCTGGTGAATTTTTTGACCTCTTGGTGCCTCAGTTTCCTCATCTGCTAAGTGGGACTGAGGAGTCGGGGACATGCCTGCAGCTGTCAGTGGTGTGGGGCCGGAGCCAGCTCACACCCTTCTCCTCACCCCCGGACCAGGTCTCTAAGGACATCTCCATGCGGCTGCACAAGGAGCTCGAGGTGGTGGAGAAGAAGCGAGCACGGCTGGAGGAGGAGAACGAGGAGCTCCGGCAGCGGCTCATCGAGACCGAGCTGGCCAAGCAGGTGCTGCAGACGGAGCTGGAGCGACCCAGAGAGGTGAGGTTGTGCTGCCTCGGGGTTGTGCTGACTGGGCCAGCGGGCACATGCAGCCCACCTAGCTGGTGTCTCTCTGATTGTGGGAAATGGGCATAGTTCGGCCTCCCTAGCTGGGTTGCTTGTTCATTCATCCCTCCAGAATGCATTTTCTTAGCACCTACTGTGTGCACTGTGCATTAGACCCCAATGATACAACAGTGGACAAGATACATACCCTGTCCTGTCCTCAAGGAGTTCCCAGGACAACATGAGAGATGGTCACCCCACTGCCTCCCGTAGGGTTCATGGGAAGCACATGCTACCATGCCCAGCGTGGGACCTGGGCTTTGTGCCTCAGTGTCCTCATCTGTGAAATGGGGCAGTGGTGCCCTCATCATTGTGAGCCAACTGGGTTAGCTGGTGTGGAGATCTTTTAGGGACTGCCGGCTGCTGCCACTGGGTGTGGGGTGGGTGCTGGGCCTGGGACTTGGGCCGCTATCTTTGGGTACTAGATGCTTCCTGAATGTGATCCTAGGCACCATCCTCTCCAACTTTGCCCGTGGCAGGCCCTCCTCCTGGTAGACCCTCTCCTGCTGTGTGTTGGGCATCATGCCAGACAGTTTATCTCAACATTTTTGTAAAGGACCAACAAGGTTGTGATCCATCTGAAGGATGAGCAAGCAGCTCCTGAGAGAGGGGCGTCCTCAAGGTCTGGCAGGACCCAGGGGGGCCTGCAGAATGCCATTAGGAAACCATCAGCCTGGGGAACCCTCAGACTGGGGTCCTCCTGGTTCCAGGGGCCTGTGCTCAGCGCCCAGGGTGGCCTGTGTCCCAGATGTTCAGCTGGGCCTCAGCTGGTTGGCTGCCCAGGAGGTATCCTAGACTCGCAGGTTCTCCCGGGGCAGGTAGGCTCTGCGTGCCTGCTTCCCCAGAGCGGACCATGCCAGCCGTCCAGGACTGAGTGACAAACCTGAGGACAGAACAGTCCTTCAGCTGCCTTTACAGTGGTGTGATGCTCTAGTGCCTTCTCTGTGTGGAGAGGAGGCATTTGCTATCAGGGCTGGGGAGAGAGAGGCTTCTCCCTTCCTGCAGCCTCCTGCGCTCCATGGCCTGGCCCATGGGGCTGGGCAACATCCTCACACTGGTTTCTGCCGCCTTGATGGTGAAAAGGGGAAAGAGACAGTTTCACAAAACACCTTAGAACTCAGTCTGTTCCTGTTGTGCAGGTGAGGAAACTGAGGCCCACAGAGGACCTGCTTGCAGAGTTCACCCAGCCTTTCCTTAGCAGAGACATGCTGCAAACCAGAAGCTACTTCCCCTCCAAGTCCTTTTCTTCCTTTGAATGTCAGGTTGATAATAGTACCCAGTCTGTGAGGTTGTTTTGTTTTGGATCATTAATAAGATTGAGTAACCAGAGGGTAGTGGTAAAGTGTATAGTTATTAAGCTTTTTTTTTTTTTTTTTTTGAGATGGGCACTCTTATTGTTGCCCAGGCTGGCCTTGAACTTCTGGCTCCAGTGGTCCTCCTCCTTCAGCCTGCTGAGTAGCTAAGTCTACTGGCATGCGCCCTCGATGTACTTATCATGTGTGAGTCCCTAGGTTAAATCCCCAGCACCCAAAAAACCCCAGATTGAGTAACACAGAAGAAGGTAATGTGGCAGAGGCAGAGCCTTGGAAAATTAAATGTAGAATTATTGTATGATCCAGTGATTCCAATGCTGGGATGTACACCAAAGAGTTAAAAATAGGGATTTGAATAGATATTTATATCCCACATTCATAATAGCATTATTTATAATAGCCAAAAGACTCATGCAACCCAAATGCCCACTAACAGACGAATGAATAAGCAAACTCTCTGTGTGTGTGTTGATAGATAGTGAATATTGTTCAACCTGAAGAATGAATGGGGCTGGGGCTGGGGCTCAGTGGTAGAGCACTTGTCTAGCTTMTATGAGGCCCTGGGTTCGATCCTCAGCACCACATATAAATAAATGAATAAAATAAGGTCCAYCAACAACTAAATATATATTTGGTTAAAAGAAAAAGAAAGAGGGGGCTGGGGATGTGGCTCAAGCAGTAGCGCACTCGCCTGGTGTGCGTGCCGCCCGGGTTCGATCCTCAGCACCACATACAAACAAAGATGCTGTGTCCGCCAAAAAAAAAAAAGAAAAAAGAAAGAGTGGGTCTGTGGCTGTAGCTCAGTGGTAGAGCGCTTGCCTTGCAGGTGTGAGGCCCTGGGTTTGATCCTCAGCACCACATAAAAATAAATAAACAAATAAAGATAATTGTGTCCATCTACAGCTAAAAGAAAAAAAAAAAGAATAAGTGAAGTACTGACACGTGGTACAACATGGATAAGCCTTGAAAACATCATGCTAGGTGAAATAAGCTAGACATAAAAGAACACATATAGTATGGTTCGACTTATACAAGATCCCTAGAGTAGTCCAACTCATAGAGATAGAAAGTAAATAGAGGTTACCAAAGCCTGGGGGGGGTTGAGGAATTATTATTTAATGGGTACAGTGCAGTTTGGGATAATGCAAAGGTTTTGGAGATGGATAGTGATTATGGTTGCATATAGGAGTGTACTTAATACTACTGAGCTGTGTACTTAAAAAGTGGTAAAGTGTGTAGTTATTAAGATTTTTTAAAAAAATATTTATTCTTAAGCTTTAGGTGGATACAATATCTTTATTTTACATTTATGTGATGCTGAGGATTGAACCCGGTACCTTGTGCATGCTAGGCGAGCATTCTACCACTGAGCTACAGCCCCAGCCCCTTATTAAGATTTTTTAAAAAGGGTTACACCTAGGAGTATAACTCAGTGTTAAGTATGTGCTTAGCATGTACAAGGCCCTGGGTTTGATTTCCCAGTATAAAAAAGGCCAAAAAAATTAAAAATGGTAAATTTCATTTATGTATATTTTACCACAATAAAAAAATGATTAGGGGCTGGGGATGTGGCTCAAGCGGTAGCGTGCTCGCCTGGCATGCGTGCGGCCTGGGTTCGATCCTCAGCACCACATACCAACAAAGATGTTGTGTCCGCCGAGAACTAAAAAATAAATATTAAAAATTCTCTCTCTCTCTCCTCTCTCACTCTCTCACTCTCTCTTTAAAAAAAAAAAATGATTAAGGGCTGGGATTGTAGCTCAGTGGTAGAGCACTTGCTTCACATGCGTGAGGCGCTCTGTTTGATCCTCAGCACTGCATAAAAACAGGTAAGTAAAATAAAGGTATTGTAGGGGCTGGGGTTGTGGCTCAGCGGTAGAGCGCTCGCCTAGCATGTGTGAGGCCCTGGGTTCGATCCTCAGCACCACATAAATAAATAAATAAAATAAAGGTATTATGTCCAACTATAACTAAAAAATAAATATTTAAAAAAAGGTATTGTGTCCATCTACAGCTAAAAAATGGTTAAGATAATAAATTTTGTATTATGTATCCTTGACCACAGTAAAATAAAAAAGAAAGTGTATATATGCATACACACACACACACATATATATACACACACACTGATATAGAAAGATCTCCAAGAGATATTATTAGCAGGAAATGAAAGTTGTAGAACTGCATATTTTGTGTGATCCTACTAGTTATTTTGGAAAGCCATACACACCAGAGTAGTTCTGAAGCCTACGTGCCTACCTACATACAAATGTGTAGCCAAAGTCTGGAGGAAGACCAGCTTGTCTGAGGAGGGAGAAATGGAGGGAGCAGGAGAGATAACCTGACTTCTGCTTTTTATCCTGTTATTTTGTTTTTATTTTTATTTTTTGGGTGGTACTGGGGATTGAACCCAGGGCACTGAGCTCCATTTCCGGCCCTTTTGTATTTTATTTTTTATTAATTTGAACCCTCTCCTCCTGTTCCCATCTCCCAAGCTGCTGGCATCACAGATGTGCCCAGCTTATTCTATTAATTCTACAGTTTGGGTTTTTGGTGCTGAAGATCAAACTGAGCCACTGAGCTGCGACCCCAGCCCACGTTAGGTTTTTGTTTTGTTTTGTCTAATAATAAGGATGTATTTAGGCCAGGTACAGTCTCAGGGACAAGGGACACTGAGGCAGGAGGATCACTTGGGACCAAGAGTTGCAGGTCAGCCTGGGCCACGTAGCAAAACCTCGTTTCAAACAAAAGAAGAAGAAAGAGAGGAACGGATGCGCTTGGGTATTATTTGTGAAATTTGAATTAAAAATTGTGAACATAAAGAGCCCTGTGTGGAGCCTGGCCCGGAGGAGGTGCTGAGGAAACACTGTTCTCTGCCTCTGAGGCGGACGTCAGCATGTGCCCGCGATGTCTCAGCATCGCCTGCAGGAGGCAGGAGCCTGTGTTGATTTGCTGTTTGTCCTCTCCCTCCTCCCTCTCCTTCCTGACATGGTTTCTATGGCGACGAGGGTCCCTTAGCAGTTCTGCGGGAGCTGCGGTCCCATCGTAGAGGTCTGCCTTTGCTACCCGACAGGTTGCTGAGGCGCTGCTGTCACCCGACTGGGAATGGGGAGCCCCTGGCCTGAGCCGATGCAGTTGCCATGGAGACAGCTCTTGGAGAGAGAGAAGGGAGGGTGGCATGCCTTCCCTATGCTCTGCGGTGGCACTGTGGCCCAGCTGGGCTGCTGCTCAAGTAACAGCAGCCTCAGTATCACTCCCCCTCCCTGGGTCGAAGGCAGAAAGCCAGGATCAGTGTTGACGCCATTTGTTAGACATAGCTGCTGTGTCTGAGCGCTTCCCRTACCAGGCACTGCTCCCAGCATCGATCGTGAGTCTTAACCCCCCCACTCTCCACGCAGCCCCAGGGCATTGTCCCATTTTATAGGCACTTCTCTTTTCTTGACAATTTTTAAGTTGTAATTTAATGCACAGAACATACAGTTCACCATTTTAATGTGTTCACGATATTGTACCATGACCTAGTTCCAGAAGGTTTCCATTACCCTCCAAAACAGCCCCATACCTTTAGCAGTCACTCCCGCTCTTCCCTCTGGCCCCTGGCAACAGCTAATCCACTTTCTG